ACACGCTTGTACTGCCGGAAGCATTTCCATCAGGAGGGTCTCCCGCTGTACTCTGCCCATTGCATGTGTAGTCGGCTGCGTTCCCTGTGTAATTTGCAGGGGATCCCACTGAAGGATCCCAAACACGCATGTTCTCGAGTGGGAATGAGCAGCTGCTGAGGTTTCCAAGCCAGTCAATAAACCTGACACCTGCATGCAAACAGAACGAAAAAGATAACAACACATTGAGCTTGTCGGCAATGTACCTTCCTCTAGACCCTAGATCTTTGATCACCCAGATGGGCCTTGATGCTCCATAGTCCACAGGTCATCGCTCCTGTGCATGCCATGACTGGAGCCAGATGCGATATAGGTCCGAAGAAATGCGGGAGGGAGTCGACTCTCCATGTCACGCACCATCGCCACCATGCCTGTGCTCCAGTCTCCTGGCAGCCCCCCGAATAAGCTCCAGTAGAGCTTCTGATCGCTGTCTTCAGACCTGGCGGGCCCATGATGATTTCGATCTGTCATGGTCTGACTGTTGATGTGTGGGAAATCCCCTCAGCAAATGGAGGAAAAAAGTGGAGCAACGGGGAAGACCTTACAAGACAGTGCAGCCATGAACAAGACGTTCGTCGCGATCCGCCTGGTGAAAAGCCCGAAGCTCATCCGTCCTCCCAAGCTCTCCAATGCCTCTGCCATGTAGCTTCCCAAGTTCCAGTCGGGTTTTTGGAGAGCCTCAGCGCTCCAGTACGAGCTCTGGGAGGCCACCAAAGGATTCGTCGCATTCCAGGCACGGTCCACAATCCTGGGCATGCTGTTTTTCATGCAGCAGGGTCGACTCCACCCAAACAGCCTCTCTCTCCCACTTTCTTCTCTCTTTCCCTCTCCCTCTCTCTCCAGTTCCCAGCTGTTGTGTGGGGTTCGCGAGCTTGACTGTAATTTGGAGTACACACGGTTTTCAGTTTTCAGCTCCTTGTTTTGTTGCATGATGCATGTGAAGGCGCGGGGTGATAGACATGCCTTGTGAGCATGGCTCATATTGAGGTAGCGTCAAGAGGTCAGGGCTTCACTTTCTGCAGTCGCCCTACGTGGTTCTGTAATGCATCTTTCTCAACGTCTGCTCTCACTTCTGAATTCAACAGCCACCACTCTGAACTTAATGCTGGCGCATTCACCCCTGAAGCTGCCAAAGCTAGAACCTCAGGCCCCAACAACTCGGCGAACTGAAGGCTAACTCTTCTAATGTCTTCCTTTTCTCCACGTCACGGCAGTGTCTGGTGACAGACTTCACCAGGGCAAAGCAGGTGGAGTGCAGAGTCCGACCAACCGGACACTGTGGCAATCGGCCATCGTAGAGCGATCTGTTCATGTGCTCCCTTTAGAACCTAAAAAACATAATATCTTTAATATCCTCCTTGGGTTTTATATAAACAAAATAAAAAAACCCAAGGGGGATATAGGTTCATGTGCGTCATGCAGTGGGGAAGGGGAGACCCCCACGCGTCCAGAATCAAATCCTGACCTTTATCAGCATGTTGCATGGGGTTCGGGCCCCTTTTTGCATCCGGACTCCTGTGGGTGTTGCCAGAAACTGCCCAAGCAAAGGCTTCCCGAACCCTAAACCCTAAACCCCAATCCTCAAACCGATGGGGAAGTGCGGGTTGCGAAGGCCTTGCCTGCCGCGTCCATGCAAAAACTGCCCAACCGCCGGCAGACTCCCCGATGACGTGTATGCGCTGGAGGGCCGGGAACCTGATCTTCCAGGATGCAAAAAAAAACCTGCTGGTAGAAATGTAGAAGGGCATCCGTTTTGATAAGGGAACCCAACCCCTAAGAAAAGGAATAGGGGTGTTTCCGGATCGGGCAGAAAATCCACCTGCGCATTGCTCTGCTCCATGCTGCTGGCAGACAAGGTGCTCTTGCTTCGCCCATCTCAAGACGGAATCAACGTTCAGCGCACCCAAGTGCCGAACCTGCATGGCACTACCATTTCCGTCCGGGTACGTCGCGATGTTGCTTCCCAAATGCTGGTCCCCTGTACAGTACGGCAAGCTGACGTAGGTCCATGTCCTCCAGATCAAAGCGCCCTCAGCCCAACCTTCTCAATCACTGGATGCTAACTCACCGCACCATTACATATAAAGGGAACAACGGCATCATTACAACGTCACAGCCTTTTACGGACTTTCACGCCCAAGCCCTCCCCACACCCACCTGTATGGGTTGTCCTCTCTGCAGAAATCCCAGATTCCATCCCCCAGCAGTGGCAGCTTGCACAATGTTACTCTGTCTCCGAGGAAGGTCTTAGCAGCAGCCACGGCATTGAACGAAATCCAGTATCTGGTCGTCTCACCTGGACGGATGCACAAATTTTACATTTTGATCTTGGACCCAGGACCCTCGACCACAAGACCTCGGGCCTTGAAAGCCCGTCGTCGTGGCGTTGCAGGTTTCATAGTTCCAACAGCCACCTCCCATCATCCACTTTCACAGCACATTGAAGCCCCCAGTGCTGGGTCTTATGTAAGCTAGCTAACCTTCCTGCCAGAAGTGATTAGGATTGTTGTCCAGCAGCCATACTACAGTCATGTCGTGGCTTCTAAAGCAAAGCACCTCCGCCAAAAAACTCGATGACCATGTCCTGCTCATTGGGTCCGTCTTCAGGTATTCTCACAACAAACTCATAGTCATCACCAAGACCACAGCCAGTTCCGTCCTCGCAGGATGCAAGGTGATGATTGCGAACAGGTGAAAGACAAGCTGTAAAACACGACATGTAGCTTCTCTCGATTAAGCAGCCCGATGCCAGATCACGTGCTCTGTCCTGCGATGGAGGCTGCAGAATGTGAAAGGTGTTATTCTTCAGTTCCGACTTTGTCGGTAAAGCAGCCGCCGCACAGACGTGCAAAGCCACCGTGAGGACTCGAGAGCAAAGCATCGGCACAGGAGCAAGGCGTGCCAGCCAAAGTGCTTTCAACGCATGAGTTGACAAGAGTCCAGGCATGTTTGTTTGTCTTCTCGGGGTGTTTAACTTGTTGAGACCAAAGAAGTCAAACAACAAGATCGCATCTGTCACCATGAGCCTACTTCACTTCCCAAACCCTTGATCCAATCATCCAACGAGACGATGAACTTGTTCATTGTTCCACGTGTCAACACTAAGGGGAAAGTAAGAGAGACTCGATGGGCGTACCGAGGACCATGGCTTTTTCTCGAGGCCTACTCGCAGTATGGACGAAAATGGCAATCCAGCCTAGGCACGAGCGGGTGCGCGCTCACCGTCCTCGAAACGTAATTAGTCATAGCCGCAGGCGCGATCGCAAGTCGCAGTCGCAGTCGCAGTCGCAGGCGCAGGCGCAGGCGCAGGCGCAGGCGCAGGCGCAGGCGCCGTCGCCGCGGCGGCGTCGTCGTCGTCGCAGTAGCAGTAGCAGTAGCAGTAGCAGTAGCAGTAGCAGTAGCAGTAGCAGTAGCAGTAGCAGTAGCAGTAGCAGTAGCAGTAGCAGTAGCAGTAGCAGTAGTAGTAGTAGTAGTAGTAGTAGTAGTAGTAGTAGTAGTAGTAGTAGTAGTAGTAGTAGTAGTAGTAGTAGTAGTAGTAGTAGGAGGAGCAGCTCACAGCCAAAGGAACAACACAGCATTATTTTTTGAAAGCGGGAGACATGGGTTCGCGCGTTGATTGATAATAATTCGAATAGTTTTTTTTTTTTGGGGGGGGGGGGGGGTTATTGTATAGTATACTTATACAGGGGCCACAAATTAGAAATTCTTCCGACTCCTATAGTGGAAGCTTTGTTTGTGCGCCTCTACATAGAACCCCATGATATCTCAACTCTGATCCCCGAAAAAGACAATCGATAATATCGCGAAATTTTGTCTGCAACACTATGCTCTGCACCCTCAGCCCATATCCTCACCTTCGGGACTTCATCTGCTAGCTAAAGCACTTGGGGCCTTTTCTTCAGCCAACTAGACAATGCAGCCGCGCATGCTGCAGTTTCGCAGCTCATCTGAGCAAGCACCTCGGATTCATTCGCCAAGGGGATCGCGGCATGCTCTAGATGCAGCATGCATGCCATCTGATCGAGAAGTCTAGCGGCATTCTACATGCACTTCAGCATTTCATGCTCGTCAACCAAGACATGGAAGCTCTCAAAGCCTGTGCAAACTCTAACTCCCCTAAATCCTGAACCCTAATGCCCTAAACCCTTCTTTCATTGTGAGGGCCATGCCGTGTGCAGGTCATCTGGTAGCGGGGAGAAGGCATCGACTGTCCAGCCGGCGGCATCTGCCCGCAGCTTCGGGGAGGTCAGGGTTTATAGGGTTGCTGGTTGGACAGGGCTTCGCAGTGACAACGTGTTGCATGAGACGAAGCAGTCTGCAAGCCCTCAAACCATGAGCGTCGAACTTAGCACAAGCTGCCCTAGAACTCTTGGTCGGGTGTGGTCAGGTCACAGGAAGGACGAAGCTGCAGGGCTTCGTTGCAACTTCTTGTTCTTCAACCCTAGCTTCGCATAGGCGAGCGGTTGATGGGTAGTGGTAAGGGTTAAGGGTTAAGGTTTAGGGTTTAGGGCTGGAGCCTTGGGCGAAGGTTTAGACGGATCAGCCGAGTGAGCTGCGCTTCCCATGCATCCTGGAAGCCTTGATTTCCCGCCCCTTGGATTTTCTCCGGGTCTTCTTACTTTTCAGGGCTTTAACGGCAAGCGTAGACAGGAGAAGGACTTGCCAAATAACGCGGCCCTCAGTTTAGCTGCTTTGTGCGAGCATGCAATGCGTTTAGGTTGAGGTATGGGCCTTCGGCTCCATCTGCCAGCGGCGTCGCCAAACGCAGCTGGAAAGAGTGGAGAAAGACCTCGGTTCAGGGTGTGTGGCAGAAAGGCGATCGTGGGGAGTATTAGGGAACCTTGGGTTCCATAACCTCCTTGAACTCCCCTCCCTTAAGAACTCTATAAGTAATCAACATGATATGTATCACCCCTTTTAGTCCCCAACTTCAACGAGGGTGTCAAAGAGGGTGTGCAAACCCAATCCTTGGAATCCGAAACACGTTGCAACCCATTCTCCGACTCATGACCCTTTGCCTTTGGCTTCCTAGGAGAAAAAGGTTGCACAATTAGTTGCTGTGGCTGTGTGTGTGTGTGTGTGTGTGTGTGTGTGTGTGTGTTTCGTTTTGGGTTCATTCATGATGGTGAGTTTCGCCGATTTCGCACTCAAGCCCGCCCAGGAAAAGCCAACTGCCGTTGCGTCGAGGCTTCGAAGTCTCATGGCAAACCCCTGTAGCCTTCAATTCGCCCCAAACCTTCAAAAACGCAAGCCCAAAGCTGCAAGCCCAACACCATGGGAGCCTTTGGCCGCCAGCTCTTGTGAAACGTGAGCCGACGCACTCCTGTAATTCCCACAGATCCCCAACCAGCATCCCAAGAGTGGGGCTGCGGGAGTGCAGTAGGACGGTGGAGGGTGGCGGGGACTACCGTAGCTAGCAACGGACCCTTTTTGAACCCAGATTGAACAAGCAACGGACCCTTTTGCAACTGATTTGGGGCATTAGTATTTCAACAAGGCCTGAAGCCCAACACTATGGCCCCCCCTGTCTGAGTCATATTGCAGAGCAACTTACAGATCTTCTTTATAAGCTCTTACGGTGGTTGCCGAGCCGAAAAGGGTCCTTAACTTAGATCAACACCCAAACTGGAACCAACTCTTGCTCAGTCGGGGTGCGCGTGAACAGCCGGCGAGGCTGCTGCCCCCATATGCCTCGCGCATCCGAGCCCTAAACCCTAAACCCTAAGCCTTAAACTCTAAACCGCGGGTCGATACAGGGTGTCGACTCGCAGGACATGGCGAAGCCAAGCTGGGAAACGCGAAGCCCTACAAGCTGAAAGATGCCCCTAATACAGGGGTCGGAATAGTTACTAGTATTATTCCCTTACGGTCCCTTTATATTCATACTATAAACCCTAAACCCTAAACTTTCCCTAAACCCTACAAACCTATTCTAAATACTAAGGCCCCTCAAATACTCGAGTCGGCTTAGCTTTTCTGCCGGGGACTGGCGTTAACCCATGAGCCTCCGAGTAAGTCATGGGATTTGGCATGCGCCCCTATCGCTGGGGATATAGTACAAAATCCCGTTAAGGGACCCTTAACAAGGGTACATCTTTTTTCGGAAACCCCCTTATAAGTAGGGCAGCTAGAGTTGCGAACTGGCTACTTTTGGCTACCCGTGAGCCTCCGAGCACGCTTGGCAAGACAAGGGTCTGCAGACAGAGCTTTCAAGTAAAATCCGAAACTGACCCCTGTCCCTAAACCCTAAACCCTAAACCCTAAACCCTGAACCCTGAACCCTAAACCGCAACAGGTTGCCTGATCCGCCGCCAGGGGATGGCCAAGATGGGCGCAGTGCGCGCGAATTTGGTGGGTGCGGCCTGGAATAGGATTAGGGGGCCCTTGGGGATATAGACCCTCTGACTGAGGTCCCTGTTGAAGAGAGCCAGAAGAGGGTTAAGACGGGGTTCCCTTTTAAGGGTCCCCCTTATCCTACCTAGGAGTATAGGGTATAGGGTATAGGGTTTAGGGTCTTTTTTCCCAGGGTTTATGCAGTTTGACACGAATCTTGACCACATGACTTCGGAAAACATCTTTGAGGCGGCTCTACCGGCGTGCCGATGCTGGATGGTTGTGAAGATGGAACTCAGCAGATAGGAAGCTTCCAATCTGCCCTCAGCCCTAATCCCTATAAAAGGCTTCCTAATCCTTAGCTGAAGATCTCCTGTGTCTGAGCTTGGAGCCGGATGCTGCTTGGGTGCTGGCATGATGTTGGGGCAGTGTTCTGTTGCATGGCCACACAAGAAAAATCAACGAAGATCGACTACGTAAATGTGAGCTTGCCAGTGAGTGTGCATGCACTAAGCGTGTACAAGCGAGGCTAGAGCCTCGCAAAAAAAGAAGAAAAAACAACCCTAAGCTCCCAAAAACGGACATCCCCAAACCCGCCGCAAAACCCAACATGCTGGGCAAGCGGGCCTGTGTGGAGCCGCAAGATCAAGAGGCTCCAGGCCTGTGACAGGCGGGATCCATAGGCTCTCCAATTCGTCAAAAGCGGCGTAAGAAGTGCGGTGGCTTGTGGGAGCAGGGTAAAAGCACGCCTCTCCCCATGCATCTCGTAGGTGAGCGACGCGCTGCACCTCAATGTGCATTTCGAAAGATTGTGGCGTAACCTCCTACAGGCATGAGGCAGCTGAACGAGCATTGCAAGAGGAGAGGTTCATTTCCCCGAACATTGGGATTTCTGCTTCTACATGCCAGGGCATTCAAAGCCATATTCGCATTGGGCTGACGGGTGCTCTAAGTTCAGAGTTTGGAGGAGCCTCAGTGCCTCAGTGATTAAAATAAGATAGCAACAGTCTGTCTTGCTGGCGGGCCAGGAAACATGCAGACTGCTGTAATCCCTTTGAAGCACCTTGCCCAAAGTTGCCATAATGTGCGGCAAGAAGCCCCTTGGTAACGAAAGAATTCCTGAATGGCCACCTCCTCCCTGTATCTCTCGACAGATGTGCTCATGCTAGTGTTTAGATTGCCCCGCGCGAACCCAGCCGGCGCCTGCGTCCTCGCGTGCTGACCTCCTTCGTCCACGAGGCTTCGAAACGTGCCTGCGCAGTGAACTCCAAGATCTCCGCTTTTTCGGCAAGCATGGAGGAAGGACTATGTAGTGGAATCTACTACCATGTTTTGTTACCTGCTGAGCACATTGTCATGGGCCCCCTACTACCGCCCTATATATTACCCCCCCCCCCCCCTAGTTTCCCCCCAGAATTAAAACTACTTAGGGGAAATTGAGCCTAATTAAGGCTATTTCAGGGGCGAACCTGAAGGGGTAGTCTAGAGGGGGGTCGCAGGGAAACATTGAGAAACTCCTTTCCAACACACCTCCCCGAGCCCAAAGAG